CGTACGTTTCAAACCTCTCAAAATGTGCTTCAAAGAATCTCCACTGAGAACAGAAATCAAATTGGATCAGTCAAAGTAGTTTAGATTTTGAAGTCGAGGTAATAAAAGTACAGTCTTGATTCATTCCAGCTTTAGCATTGTTAATAGTTAACTAAAGCTGGTATACCTGCCTTGTTAATGTGTCCAAAACAAACAAATCATTTCAAGGTGACGGACGTTTCTTCTATGTTATTTATTAATGTCTTTTCATCAGCGTCAATGAGCAATTGACTGTCAACAAAACAAGGCGAGGCAGATCGAAAATCTTTTATTGTTTCAAAAGGAGACCCAAAGGGTGCCAGCATAAAGCAGCTTTTTTCAGACAGAATTAATAACATTAGCTCACATTGCACCACCTAATTATTATTATTATTTTTTTTTAAACTATTTTGTAAGGTTTAATATGCCATGGTATCTCTTTACAACCTTCATGACTACCAATCTGCTCTCGCATTGTAGATTTTAGACGTTAGGAAAATAGTTGTTACTATTAAAACAACATCTTACTTGGTGCCAAAGTCACCAAACTGTAAAGTGTTTCTCACTTTGTTGCCTCTTGTTACTCTTAGGGTTTTAGGTAAAATAAAGTCTTCTATCAGTTTAAAATGTTATGGTTCAATCCAAAATCCTCTACCTGTCAAAGTGTCCATGTCCAACACCAGGAAACCTCACTGTGTGCCACATGTGGTCACTGTAGATAAAAAGCTGCATATTGTTATACAATATAAAAAAAAACAATACCAATGCTTAGTCCCATTAAACTTAACATTACCTAGTTAAAGCAACAGAGATGATGAAGAGCATTGACGATTGTCTTTATTCTTATCTCGGTTCCAGTTTCTCTTGGTCTGCTTCCCGAATGGACCGAAACATGATCACTGTGATGACGGGGCAGGTGGTGGATGCCTTTGACAGAGACTTCCGTGAGCTGTACGCCATATCCGAGAAGTTGGACCTCTACAAGGAGTTCCACGTCAGTCCCCCTGCTGCTAACGTCACCGCCACTATTCGCTCCAAATTGGAGCCCAAACGCCCTCCGTTACCGGCGACCACATCCCGTTTCCAGGTCAGCCTCGGAGACTCTCGGAATGTTGAAATCCAGGTTCCTGCCCACAAATACTACAATCCCAAATACTCGCTGCTGTTCGGAGGTTCTGCACTTCCTGCAAGATCTCTGCATGACGAAAGACCAAAGCCGGGTCTCGCAGATCTTCATGAAGAGGAGGGAAGGCCTCGAGTGGCCAGCAGTCTTAAGCTAGATCCTCAGAGTCCGTTGTCCTCAGAGGCCCCAAGTGAGAACTTCAAGACGTCAAACAAAGTATCTCTGGGGAAAAAGAGAGGCTTTACTTGGAAGTTGCCGAGAAAAAAATCTCAGAGTAAGCTTTCTGTTAAAAATATAGGAAGTGCTTCACCGACAGAGACTCATCCCAATGAATTGGAAGACGGTGCCACGGTGGTTGTGGTAACCCCGACCAAAGGGAGTAAGAAGCTTTCTAAACTGGACCAAAGAACGCTGTCTCAGCAAACTGTCACCACGTCACATGACAAAGAAAGTAAGTGCCTAATGTAACAAAATCTTCTTCTGTCCCTTCACAAAACCCTTCGGTGAAGGGACAGGACTATATACCTGTAGCCATAAAGTATGAATGTAAGAAGGTTTGGTTCAATTTTTAGCCTCCTTTCACAACCAAACATTGCCATTTTATACTACCATTCATTAATTTTAAACAAATTCCTGCTTTTTTTACTTAAAACATCATGTGAGTTCTTTTTTTTTTTTTTACTGATAAACGGTCATAAAATGCTAATATTATCCTCTGTACCTATTTATTTATTTAATATAATCAGTCAAACCTTTTATCAAACCAAAGTCACTCCCAAGTCTCCATATGCTGGTGCATATTTCATGAAGACATGCAACCAATTTTCTTCTTTTTTTTTTATTTAAATATAGAAGATTGTTAAGTTATTGGTTGTCAATGCCGTTATGATCCTCCTAAAAGGTATGAACTGCCATGTTTTTGGCATAAAATCGTCGAAGATTTTACAACAGTATTTTGTACTTTCTGCTTGGTCGTTTCTTACCCAGGAAAAATCTGGTGTTTCACCAAAACATTGCAAACATACCAAAATGGCAACAGGCAGAATGATTTCACTGCTATGCAAATCAAAAACAGAATAGAAGTACGCAGAAAAGCACCACAAAAACGCATGTAAAACTGGAGTACTTCTCTCTCTGTTTGCATGAAAATAGTTCACTGGCTTTTATTGTTTGTTTTCATTTAATATTGAAGTGTTTATCTCACTGATGTTTTAAATGATCTTTTTTTCCTTCTTTCCACAGGTTTGAAGAGTCGTCGTCATGGAAAATCAGGATGTAAAATATCCTAAGCTGAACTTGTTTGACACTTTTAATAGTGTACAGTTACATGATCTTAAAACAGATGAGGAAATGACTTTAATGAAGATGGTGTGGCACACTGCAGCGTTATGCACGTTTGAATGAAGACCAGATGAATGTCCAGTCCTTCAGGTTTTTATCTACTGGTTTCACATCTGGAGCCTAATGTACCATGAGGCTGATCTGGCAGAATCTCTGGAATCACATATTTGTGTTGAGGCCTTTTTAACCCATCTTGTTATTGGACTGGGTTTGTTTTTTATTTTTATTTTTTCTTGCAAACATGGGTGAAGTTTTTAAAGTTGTTCAGGGAATGTATTTATGTGTCACACTTGTTTATCTAAATTGCAAAGTAAGAAAAACCACATTTATTCCTAGAGAAATATTGTTTGGTTTCAGATTTAAATTAGTTGCGATGAGTTGCATCTTAAAATGTTTTTTCAAACCTATTCAGCCACGCTGACTCTTCCAAATATATCGAGCATATATTTCTATGATGAATCCTGGTTTGCAAAACAGTTTATACACTACTGATATTGCAGCCAACAGACTACAGATTAGATTTGTATTTATTGAATCCGGTCATTTTTACTTTTGTTTTTGCCCACATATATGATTATGTACTGAACGATGACTCCACCACACTTCTGCCCATGTGTGTTGCCTTTCTTTGCCGTTTGTAGATAGACGACGTTAAGAAAATAGAATTGGTATCTGCTCAACTGACACATTAACTTTCCTAACAATGGGAAATAATTTAAAGTAGAGGTGTTTAAAGAGACATAGACATGCTTTTTAATGCTGAAGATGAGCTACTCTTGAGTTACTACAAACAGTGTGTGAAGTTTAACGGTTAACTGCTCTTATTTATAATAGCAACCATTCAGAAGTCCAACTATAGCGTAAAGGATATGTTTCAAGATTAATTTGACATTTTTATCCAGAATCCTCTGTCTTCTTTTCAGCAGCATGATCAGCCTCTGGTATTTGTCTTGACTCCGGATGGCGCTACATAAAAAAAAAGTTCCCTTTTATTTGAAGTAGGCAGCCCTCATTTGCATGGTGTGTGTTTACAGTGTGTGAAAGTTCATGGTAGCATTCATGTTTTTTCTTTTTCTTTTTTTTATCAGAGAATTGCTTACCATCAGATTACTCTCATCTTGGTGACAGGAAGATGCGATACAGCAGCAGATGTCAGTTGATAGAAAAGCGTGTAAAGATATACACCAGCACAACAACATGGTTGGTTTTATTTCTGTGCACTTGAAATAAAACCACTCCATTAAGTTGTACTAAACTTAAAAATTATATACTGTGATTACCTTTAGCAGACTTTTAACTGTTTTTGCACCATTTCGCACAAGTAACTTTGAACCTTTTTGATTTTTGTGTTACATTTTGATTCACTCAGAGTAGAAAACAAGAGATCCTCACTTAAATCAACAGACACTGTTACCCATTTAGTGGCATGTTGGGTTGTTGGATATAGACAAAGGTTTGATGTCTATCATTTATTGTTTTTGTGGGTTTCAATAAATCCGTTATCCACCGAGTCTATTTAATGCACTAATTAATTTAAATGTTTTGTTCTTTATCTTGTTTTACATTTGAATTTTTCATGGATTCTTGACTGAAAGTTTTCCATTTGATTCAGTTTATTTCTTTAGTGCCAATTCACAACAAAGGTCGTCACAAGGTAGTTTGCAAAAAAATCATTTCAATTCAGTCAGATTCCAATTGATCCCAGTTATCAAACAGTAAATTATGCTCAATTAATTATTCAAAGTTAGTTTAAAACATTTTTGGTGTCTTGTCATCTGCCTGCAAAAACTTACCGCCCTTCATTGTGGCAGAAGATTCAAAAACCATCCAGTCAGACTCGTATGCTTGTTGAAACACAACTGCCCTGTTTAATAGTTTTGTGCTTCAGCTTTGACAAGTTATTTAACAGAAAAGAAACCATTAACACGCTGTTTTTGTTAACATTTCACCATAAACCACAGCAAAACCAAATGCATGACTTGCATTTCATAAACTGACCACTACACGCTGCTAAGCAGTCGCCCAAAGCTCAAAGGGGAACCAGTGCTCTGATGGGAACTGCTCACCGAGCTGTGGATGAAGGCGGGGCAGGGGGGGCGGCAGGCTGTGGTGAAATACTGAAACAGGAAGTTTGAGGTGCAACAGGAAGAGACGTTCTCACAATAATTCACCGGCTAATTTTACTGACACACCAGCAGGCACGAGAATGTGTTATTTCCTGTGAAACATGCATGTTTATCATGCAACACTGCATGCAAGTTTTTCTTAAGCAGAAGCAGGACACCGATCAACTCAAACGCCACGGCTAGCTGCTTGATAAGTGGAAGATTACAGCAACCTAATTATATGAATGTTTTGTTGTAGGTAATGGTGTTTGCCATTGGAAGAATTTTTGTAAAGTGTTTGCAATGAAGTACTTAGTGTCGATAAATTCAGAAACATGACACAAGACCTTCAAAACACTGTTAGCATAGTTTTAGCTGCCATGTTCTGTTCAAAACACACAAATTTGAGCTTCATAATTCATACATCATGCTTGTATGCTTTGAAAACCTCACAGTTTAACCACGGAGGTCAACAAGGTCATACACTCATGCGAAGAAACCATTTCGGCTCACATGAAAACGGCAAACAATGAGGAAGTTTAGATGGAATTAGAGAGCATTCAACTGAAAACGCAGCTGTCGACTGGCTATTCCTGAACTTTAAAAGAAAAGAGAAGAATTCAGTTTGGTTTCTATTACATGAATATTTTTAATTCAACAATGAATTCACCGGAACACCAAAAAGACCCATAAAACAATACTGTAGTTACAAAGTTAAAGTGTAGAAGGCATAATGTACATTTTGATAGGCAACACAATACAGCTTGGAATGAAACATTTGAGTGGTAACATCTATTGCACAACCTTTTGACGTTTTTTTTCTTTAACAATTACATACATTATAAAGTACAGACCAAAATAAGATCATTACTCAAACTCATTTACAATTTTCACAAGATTTCTGTGTAAACTGGCCTATTTTACAGGTGAAACTCTTCAGTTGACTCTGTCAGACTAAAGATAAAGGCTGGGTATGGCTTTGAGTGTCAGAGCTGTATGAGAGCTGTGAGAAAGCAGACACGGAGATGTTTTTATTGTATTCATGATAAGATATGACATGTTCTATTCCTCTCTGGGTTGTGAAACTAAATCACATAAAGACAATCCCACAATGGTAGCTCTCTCAACTGCAAGTATCTGACTTCTGTAACAACAACAACAAAAAAGCTAAAGACATTTTTGTTTTGACTAAAAATCTTGTTGCAAAGTTCCAGAGGAGCCCTTGAGGGATTCCCTTTGGTCTGTCACACTAATACTGACTCGTTTGATTTCGTTTTCACCTTTTGGCAAAGTCTTTACTCGGTTTATGAAAAGAGAAGTTCCCAATGTCAGTGTGGTTTTGTTCATCTTCACGCGCCCCTTGTGTCCGCACGTGGCGACGAGGTAATTCCAGGCAGCCTTGAACGAAGGCCGATGCAAAACCGGCGCAGCGGCGTCAGCGTGGAAGTTTTGGAGACGCCCGCGGCGCTCAGTCCTGAGGAGTTTGGTTTATCACCTTCTTCTTCCTGACTGAGACCAGGTCGTAGAACGGATCCTTGGTGATACTCGCCCTGTTTCCAGTAAAGATGGTTGACGTTAGTCGTTTGTGGATTTACATTTGTTAGACCTTTTGTAGACTAAATCATCCGCCATAACTTTAATGTCCTCAACAGAGACATGCTCAAAGAGAATTTCCAATTCCCCCTCAGAATATATTCTGAGTTGACTGATTAGGATTAGCTTGGGGTGAAGAACATCTCCACAGGTTCAAGTATGTGAAACTGCTTGGTGTGTTTGCTGTCTGACCTGATGGCTTCAATCCAGGAGTCTCTCTCTTCAGCGCTGGAGGCACAAATGGTGTAGGACTGATGTTTTCCCTCCACCACCCTGCCGTCCGTCTCCGTTTTACACGCTTTGATTTTCTGCCCGTGACTGTTGGGGTTGTACAGCTCCAGACAGTACTACGTGACAATACGATTCGGACATTAGAGTTAATCCAATATAAACAATGAAATGTTGTTTTTTTAAACTAAAAAAATAACTCAAAGAAGTCCTCCTTTCAGTTTCAGACAGCTTTGAGTAGCTTTTTAAAACGAGGACGTGTTGAACATCTTTCTGAATCTTACCGGTTTGCGAGGGTACGGCACTTCCCTCACGCTCAGATTTTCTAGTGGAATGATACCTCTGGGTTCTTTATCCTGAAAAATAAAACATTTTGAAGAGACAGATTACATTAGGCTATATTTTATAAGAAGAAAAAGAAGAGAAAAATGTCATCTGAATAAACTGTAATATATAGTTAAAGGAAACACGCTGTGCTTTTAAGGTTGAAAAACACATCACATTTGAATATTTAAACTGTTTAGTTTGTACTTTTTTTATTTTAAGCTCTCAGGGTTTGTTCATTTAAAAGTTTTTCATAAATTAGGGTATGTCTGGGATACGGTTGAATCCTTACTGTTGTATACTCGAAGTAGTAGAGGCAGTTGTCTGTCAGGATAAACCATCGCCTTTTCCACGTTTTAACACGACCTCCTGAAATACAAAGACGCAGCAGAAGTTAAACCTATTTTCATATTTGCTGTCGGTTATTATCGGACACTGGCTTGTTCAAAATCCCCTCGCTAAAAACAAAAACTCCTGAGGTTGTTTGCGCCAATTTTAAGCCTTGTGCAACCAGCCCTTTATGTTTCCAAGCAAACAGCCCAAGTTGAGTTATTCTCGAAAGACTTCCTCTGTACTTTCCTGCATTCATTCGGTACATGCTAGATTGGTTAGAGTTTTGTTAATTTAATAAACTAGCCATGTTAATACAAAAACAATGTAAAACAGGGACTTGCCGAGTTTAAGGAGCCAGCCTTCTCTGTCAGGGTTGAAAAACGTGTGAGTCAGGTCATTTCCGTCATCCTCTGGGATTTTGAAAGGCTCGTTGCGTATGCTCTCGTAGAGTTTCTAAGAGCACAAGAGTTACACGCTTGAAATCAATAGTGGCACAATTGCTCCTGTGGGCTAACCCGTCATTAGCAAGGCTGGTTAGTATAATGAACTCAATGAAAATTAGCCAACGCCTTCAAAACTCACTGCCTCCAAAAAACTAAAGAGTAAGATTCAATCTAAATACATTAAATTCATTTTATGTCATTTTATTATCATGGCTGAAATGAGCTGAAGGGTCTTACGGAGAGAAGGTCGTTGGGCAGATCCTCGCCGTTGTTGATCCCTCTGTTCATGGAGATGAATCGCTCCAGGGTGGTTTTGTCCTTCACGTTGGGGTTGTGGAGGCTCGTGTTCAACATGATGATGGCAAACGACAGGATGTAGCATGTGTCTGGGTTTGAAGAGGCATGGGGAGCAAACGTTAAATTCAAAGGAAACCGATCAAGAAAATATTATCTTGCCCAGGTATTTATGTACATCAAACTTTTTAACATTCTGTCACATTTCAACTACCCAATATGTTTTAATGGGCTTGATTATAATATACCAGAACAAAGTAGTGCATAATGTTAAAGTATTGGGAAAATTATTGTTTTGGAGGCGTTAGCATTGTGAAAACCAGTCCCTTGTTCTACCCTGGGCTCTAGGCTTTAGAGAGGCATTTTCCTTGCTGGAGGCACAGACTGTGTTGAAGTTTTACCCAATTGCAAACGTATGCCTGTGATGCATGCAACGCTCCAGTTTGACGCTATGATGCTTACCAGAAATTGTTTGTGCTGTAAACAGCCATCCTCCGATGCAAAGAGAGAAGTGCCGAACCAAAGGCTTTTAATGTTCAACATTCGGAAGCATTGCATTGCCAACACGAATCATTGCTAAAACTACAGGCAGACTGCAATTCTAAAACAATGACATCATCATTCTGTTCACTGATTGGCCTGGTAGAATATGATGAATTCAAGTGAATGGGTGAAAGCCCTGAATGTCTGTGAAGCAACATTTTAGCCAGGCTGTGTATTTCTTTAAAAAACTTGTACAAGTCTTTGTGTACCTTTGTAATCTCTCTCTCTCTTTTTCCACTATAATAGGTTTGAAAAACCAGTGCCACCACTTGTCTTCAGAAGTCATGTAATCAGTAAACAGAGTCCACTTGTGTGTACTTTAATCTGATGATAAATGTAGCTGTTCTGCAAACACTTGTGAGCAAACAGCATCATGAAGACCAGGAAACACATCAAACAGACTGAGGATGATGTGGGAAAATTCAAAGCATTGTCATAAAACAATATTTCACACTCTGAACAATCTTTCAGAGCACCGACCAATCCATCATCCTTAATTACTCTGGGCATTAAACAGCGAAGCAGCCTAGAGGCCCATGGGAACTCTGGAGAAGCTTCATGGAAACACAGCGGGAGAATGTTTTTGAATATCTGATCTGAAAAAGTATGTTGAAAGGAAATCAGAAGAAATCAAATTCAAAGATGGCACAAA